TGGCGGCCCTCCAGATAGCGGAGAGCCAGAGCGATAATGTTTGGCTCGGCGTCATGTCCGTCCCGCCCTGTTTAGTGGTTTTAGACTGCGAACGCCAGCTGTCGCAGAGTTAGAAAAGTTAACTCTCTGTGCGTGTGTGTTTGTTTTCAATATCTGTTTTACTATGAAGCCAAAATCCAGGCATCTTGGAAGTGCAAAGACCTGTGATGTGATGATTTAGGTGTTTTCTTGTTGTCTCTACAGAAATGTGGTTTTTCAGAACTGTATTCATGGCAGAGGCAAAGGAAGACGAAGCAGGAGTTTTGTCTTCATGATGGACCGCCTTATGCCAATGGAGACCCTCATGTTGGCCATGCACTAAATAAAGTAAATATTTACTTGTTCATACCGTACCGTTTCAAAGTGGTAAATACTTCCCGTAATGTGCTGGATGTTCTCCATTCCTGTTTCAGTCAATAACGCTTTAAAGCATTTGGTGTTTTGGTAGACAGGGCTTTTGAAAAGGAAATGACACAGTTGCGTAGATATCATATGATGCCACGGTGACATAGATACCATACCACGACATAAATACTGTATACAAGTATATGGTACCTATATGCTGAATGATCGTTTATGAGGCTGATTGTTTCAGTAAAAAGAGAGCTTTTTCTCTGGAGAAAGTCCGGCCTTCGTTCCTAAGCAATACTAAATGCGCAGTTTGTTTGTGTATTGAATGTATCACACGTATACATGTGAGTGCATATTTCTATATGTATATATGTAATAATGTTATTGTAATGCATGGTTGAGCCGTGCCTTGCTATTCTCTTTCTCCTTCGGGTGTTTTGTAAGTTTGTTATGTTGCATTTATTTTATCTGAGTATCTTCAAGGGAACCACAATGACTAAAGGTCGATGTTTTTTAAAATTTAAGTAATACTCCTAGATATGTTTGGATGTGTTTAGATTCAGTCCTGAGAATGACAGCATTATACATGCTACAAAGTGGGAAAGACTAAAGTGTGACCCACAGTTTCTTACAGCGCTAGTGCTAAAGCTCGGGCTTCTGAAAATGACAAGTTTTGGTAGGTGATCACTTATATCAAAGAGCTATAATGTGCACTAGGCCAACACAGTAGTTCCAGACCAGTGTTTTAAAAATGAGAGCAAACAGGGTTTGTTTGCTTCAAGTCTTGAAAGTTTATAAATGGCATCTTTCAGTTATGCCGAATATGAATTCCTTTGATCAGAGGTCTTCTGAGGTTATGCCAAAAGACAAAGTGATGGGCAAGAAAAAATCATAAACGGACAGTTGTAAATAAACGGATGGTCTTAAATGTAAATGTATTATGCAGCCTTTTATATTTGTTCTCTTAATAGGAGGATCTTAATTAATAATGTAGCTCTTCCGCATGGGGGAGCTAAAGTGGTAACTGACCCTTGTGTCTTCTCAGATTTTGAAAGACATCACTAACCGGTTCTATGTGATGAGAGGTTATAAAGTGCATTATGTGCCTGGATGGGATTGCCATGGGTTGCCAATTGAGTTGAAGGCGTTGTCAGAAGTCAAAGGAGCTGAGAATCTTTCACCAATGGAAATTAGACAGAGGGGTAAACTACTGTTTGCAATATCTTTATAGAGAAGTTGGCTTATGTATTTGTACATCCTACTCAGCATGTTTCGAATTTTGTGCTTTATAAATAGCTTTTATACTTTACTGAGTTCTTTTCTATTAGCTATTGGTAACATTTTCTGGGATCACTGTGTGTATTTGCCAAGCAGACTGGGTACAGCATAGTCTTATGAAGTGGGATAGTGGAACACAGGCTCAATCTGTTGCTCTTACGAACACGCCTAGCATTGACCATGAGTTTGAAAAAACAAAAGGACAGAGGATTTGAATTTCCATTTTGCATAACTGTGTTGCAGCATGAAACTGGTATTTGTCATATCAGTGTGCTTCTGGGTTTTGAAGAGTGGATTTGCTGAGGAGCTACACACAAGCTCCTCATAAACCGGGAGTCTTGGCTTGAGCAGAGGATTGGACCAGATGACCTCCAGAGGTCCCCTCTGACCTCAACTATTCTGTGATAAAAATTTGGCTTCATCAGGACAGCTTGGCTCAATATAGTAGTTAGGGATGTTTTTATCAATGCTACAAAACTATAGAGGTGACCTTTTCAGAGAAAGTTAGTCTACACTATATGGAACTGGTTTTTTAAAACAATTTCAAATATCATATGTATTCAGCTGCAAAACTATTTGTAATGAGCAATTTAAGCTGCTTTAGCTTGAAATTGCAGCAATGAAATGGACTAACTTATTTTCAGTTGCATGTTGTTGTGAAAGGTTTGGATCAGCGTCAACAGAGGTGGTTAATTTTCACGCTTACTTATTTGAGAATTCATTTTAAGAAATTATTCTTTGTAACTAAATGTACTTATTCTTTTCCCTCTTCCTTGAAAAGAAAGGGTATGTTCTGGAGGCACTTAAGCTTGATGTCCCCATAGCAGTAAAAAAGTGCCACTCCTGGATCTTTTTACTCTTTGCAGTCATTTTATGTAATTACTTCTTTGAAGTATATATATTTTTGAGCCATAATAATTTATTTAATACGTGTCAGTAACTTTTGCACGATTTCAGTATGTTCAGCTCAGGCTTTTCTAAAAAATGTCAATAGCATGTTTTAAATGGTATTGTATTGATCTTAGTGGCCTGAACCATGTGCTTAAAGCAACTATTCCCTTCAGCCAGAGAATTTGCAGAGAGAGCAATTGAGAAGCAAAAATCCGCCTTCATTCGTTGGGGTGTAATGGCAGACTGGGCTAACTGCTACCGTACATTCGATCCAAAGTATGAAGCAAACCAGCTGAGAGTCTTCTACAAAATGTATGATAAGGTATGTTGAGTTCTTACTAAAGTGTGTTTTGCTTTGTCGTGAGTTTCAATTCTCCTAACTTTCTTTTTTCTCACTCTTTTCTCTTTAGGGTTTCATTCATCAGGACTATAAACCTGTGTTCTGGTCTCCTTCAGCCAAGTAAGAATCAACTTACTATTTTGTCTTCAAAACTTTAGCAAAGGTATCAGTAGCTTTTCGAGTTCAAATGTGTTAACTTATGTTTGATATCTACCCAGAACAGCCTTGGCTGAAGCAGAGCTTGAGTACAATGACCACCATGTCAGTCGTTCTGTATATATGAAATTTCCTCTGTTAAAGTCACCACCTAAGCTGACTTCTGTGATAGGTATGACTTCTGTATAGATTTTAAGACTAATAGCTTTTATTTTTGTTACAATTGTAAGTAAAGTACTTCTGATTTACATCTGTAGATGGATCATCCCCTGCTAGTGTGCTAGTCTGGACCACGCAACCTTGGACTGTGCCAGCCAATCAAGCAGTTTGCTACATGCCAGATTCAGCGTATGTGTCTTTAACTTGGTTCAGTGGTCTTCGTCAGTCCCTGTCAATATTTATCAACAAAGTTAAAACCTTCTGGGCTACCATTAAGTTTTATTTAAGACACCTTTTTTGTGTGTTTTTTTTTTTTTTTAAGTGACACAATTGTGAGCTTTGTTCTGTCTCTCTTAATATATTAATTTCTGTTTTCTTTTTTTTTAAAAAAATTATTTCTTCTTCCTGATGAGGTGAATTCTTTTGAGATTTGAGCGAATTGGACATGTAGATCTTAAAAAGTATTTTGCTGTCTTTTAGACATGGAACATTTAAACAATTTGTAGCTTTGTGGTGTTTATAATTATTTAGTATCACAAATATGTATTTACATTGTAGATATTCGATTGTGAAATGTACGACTACTGGTGAACACTTCATTCTAGCTGCAGACAGAGTTGAATCTACAGCTGCTGTTTTGGACACGCAGTTTGAGGTTATGTCAACATATAAAGGTAGGTTTTAATATTGTTAATCTGAAGTTGCTTAGAAATCTGCTTGCAGGTATCTGAAAACTGTTTCAGTTTTGATGTATTAATTCTGTTTATGTTTTGAGAACATGCTTTACTACAATCATAGAATGATCAAATGGCTTGAGTTGGAAGAGACATTAAAGGTCATGTAGTTCCAACCCCCCTGCCATGGGCAGGAACACCTCCCACCAGACCAGATTGCTCAAAGTCCCGTCCAACATGGCCTTGAACACCTCCAGGTATGGGGCATCCACAGCTTCTCTGGGCAACCTTTTCCAGTGCTTTGTCACCCTCAGAGTGAAGAATTTCTTCCTTAAATCTATTTGAAACCTACCCTTCCAGTTTAAGTCCATTACCTCTTTTTCTATCACTACACACCCTTGTAAAAAGTCCCTCTCCAGCTTTGTTGTAGGCCCTCTTTAGGGACTGGAAGGCTGCTGTAAAAGATACAAAGAGAAGCAGTAGTCTGTCAGATTTAGTATTGGTGTATTGTAGCTCAAATTTTCATCGATAGGTTTCAAGTTACTTTTCCAGGTGTGAGTCCAGATTTTAAAAACTTCAACATGGAGTGCAAGTCTGTTCAGTATCAAAATCTTAATTACACTGAATGCAATTTGTCTTGCTCATCCATTGCTGATGAGAACAAGGGGCTGTCATGGTTTAGGCCGATCCGGCAACTAAACTCCACACAGACGCTCTCTCACTCCTTCTCCAGTGAAATGAAGAGGAGAAAAATATAATAAAAGGACTGATGGTCAACACAAGAACAGAAAGGGAGCACCCACCAACTATGGTCCCGGGCAAAACAGACTCATCTTTCTTAAAGCAAAACAATTTATTAACAGTTACTTAAAAAGGACAAAGGGAAACAAAACCGGTTACTTGAGTGGATAAAGAGAAAACAAAGCCAGATCTTAAAAACCCCCCCCCCCACCCCCGACCTCCTTTCCTTTTCTTCCCGGCTCTACCTCATTCCCCAGCAGTGCAGGGGGACAGGGAATGG